ATATGGAAGTTTGTGGGGTGCCTAACACCTTCCCCACGCTTAACCGACCCTCCGAACCTAGTCAATTTCTACGAAGACCTTGGTGATCTATCCCACCTCATTTGGATAGATGGCGACTCCATCCATTTTGGCACGTCAACACTTGGTATGCAAAGTTCAATGCTATTGTGAGTGAATTTGGTTTTACTTCCAGTCCACATGATATAGCTCTATTCATTTGTAAAACTACTCAAGGTATGGTTCTTTTACTTCTTTATGTTAATGACATGATTATTATTGGAGATGATATTGCAAGCATTGATGAGCTAAAATTGTCTCTCAATCATAAATTTGAGATGAAAAATCTTAGTTGTCTAATCTATTTCCTAAGGCTTGAAGTCACTTCTTCAAATGATGGCTACCTTCTTTCTCAAGTAAAGTATGCCTCCAATCTTGTCTTTAAAGCTAAACTGAATGATTGCAAGAGTGTTTCTACACCTCTTGAACCTAACATTAAGTTTACACCTATAGATGACTCATTACTTTCTAATCTTACTCATTATCAACAATTGGTTGGTAGTGTAGTTTGTCTTATCATGGTACACCCTGACATAGCACATGTAGTTCACATTGTTAGTAAATTTATGGCTGCTCCTTGCTTCACTCATTATGCAACAATGCTTCACATTATTCATTATCTTGAGGGAACATTGTTTCATGGACTCTATTTTTCAATTAACTTCTCACTTGTGCTTTGTGCCTACTTTCATGCCAATTGGGCTGGTGATCCTTTTTATCATAGATTTACCACTAGTTATTGTCTTTTCCTCAATAATTCTCTTATCTCTTGGCATAGCAAGAAACAAACTATTTCATCTTGCTCTAGTTCTAAAGTTGAGTATAGAGCTCTCAGTGATACCAAATCAAAACTTCTCTTATTATGGTGACTTCTTGAAGATACGGGTATCCCTCAACCTTCTTCTATTGATTTATATTGTAATAATTAAAGTGGTATATAGATTGTTCACAACGATATATTCCATGAATGCACAAAGCATATTGAGGTTGGTTGTCATTTATCTATCATCATTGTTCATTGAGGCTCACTTTCCTAGATGTTTTCAAAGTTTTCTTTCCAAACTACTTTCCTCACCTTCATCTCAAGTTTGCAAGGAATGTCAGAATATTAGCATTCACACTATATTAATATGTTCACATTATAATTGATTGTATATGTGATACCCCAAAATTTCTAGAGCATTAAAGTGAGTTAGGGACTTGTTTGAGAAACAAATATTGTTTTGGGCTTAATAGCCAAAGTTTGAAAGTTGAGGGGGCTTAAAAGAGTAAAGATATTGGATAAGGATCAGCCTTTTTCTTTTCTTTTTCTTCTTTCTTTTCTTCCCCAGCCATTTCCCGATTCTGCTCTTCTTCTTTCCGCTGCAGCTCCCGAAATCCCCCCCCCAAGCTGCCGGCAACAAGTTTTTGAGGAAAACCGGTAAAAGCTTAGATTTTTCCCTTCTTTTCTTGTCCAAGAACCTGATTTAGAACCCAGAAATCTTCCCCCCTGCAGGAAGCTCCCGGATCTGCTCTCCTCTTCCTCCCCTGTCCGCCGGCTGCTCTTGCTTTGTGGGGGTGATTTGCTCCGGTTTTGGGTAAGAAACAGCCATGTTTTCATCCTTTTAGCTTGATTTAGCTTGGGTTAACTTTGGTTCTCCAATTTTTGGCTAGTCCGTGAGTCCCCTGCAGAAATTGCCGCCGGCCTTTCCCCAATTTCCCGCCGGCTTCTCCCCCTGCTAGGCCCGGTTCTGCTAGCTGCAAATTCTGGTATGGACAGCCCTTTTAAGTTCGAATTTATCGATTAATTGTTGTCCAATTAGTTGCTCTGTGTTGTCCGAGATCCCGCCGGAATTATGGGATAATTGTGGGTAGCATAAAATGTGTTTTTAAGCTTG